TTTCTCACTGTAACAAAGAATTTTATTGTTTTACTGGCATTGATATCTGATCCTAAAACAGGACACCTACACTGTACTTGCTGACCTCATATGAAATTTGTAAGTAGACTACCTTTGAATTCTGGTTTTAGATTTAATGTTTTCTCTCAAATCCTTAAACAGGGTCTACAGCTCGAAGAATCAAAACTGCGAGTCACATTGCCACAGGCATGTTCGTGTATTAGTTTGGTGATTTGGAAAAAATATTAAATATTGCTGCATGTAATTTTAATCTGCAACAAAATGTCATTTACTTTGTTTTTTGTTCTGTGTGCAAAACCACAAGATTAACAATTAACGATGAACTACAGCTTAAAAACTTGCACTTATAAAACATAAACATTGTTTAGGGGTCAGAGAGTAAGGATTAGTATTAAAACATAATTTATAAATAGGCTTAGTCACCATTGCAAAAGTGATATGAGGTCAGCGAGTATCATGGTGATTTACCCCAGTAAGAAAGTGAAGCATCACCTAGAACAGAAAATGCTGTCACCTGCCACTGCTACCATCTCAGCCTCCTAGTAGAGCCCCCTATTGCATAAGTTTGAATTTTCTGACTTCTGACCTTAAGGTCTAGGTCACCAAAATTCTAATTCGTCCAAGAGTTTTAGAAGATGCACCTATCGTATCAATTTCAAAATCCTGGGTGAATTCCTTCTTATATTATTGAAAGATTATCAGAAAGATTTTCAGAAAAGTTGACCTCTGGCCTTCACCTTGAGGTCAAGGTCACTGAGATTCATTCTTGTCCAAGATATTTAGTGGTTTGTGAAAATCCTCCATCACCCTTGTTCTTAAGTTGTTGCATTCACAGGATTTTCAGAAAACTTTACTTCTGACTGAAGATTCACTGAGATTCTAACTCATCTGGGATTTTTAGTACGTGCTCCTATGGCATGAATTTCAAAATCCTACGTCACCTTGTGCTCAAGCTATCACATTCATAAACTTGGGTGTCCACGCCACCCAACCACCTAGCGTGACCAGCACATGTGGTTTCCATTTGTGAAACCACATGTGCCACTTTCTACCTCCTTTTTGATAACTTAAAGCTCCAACTGTTAGCAAGGGTTGAGTATGTATGCTTTAAGCAATACAGAAAATGTCTCAGCTTAAAATAATGCGGTCCTTCCCATTAGTCTGCATCAAGTACATCAGTGCGCAGTCAAAGAAAGCTGCATGAAGAGTTGAAGTTGAGCCACATTTGGAAGAAAAAGGAAAGCAGCAAAAAAGACGAATGAGACATCTTTACAAGAACTCCAAAGATCATCAACAGTAGACAGTCATGTCTGGGGTTCAGAAAATACACAGTTTAGAGTTTTAGAAATGTTTTTTGTTTTTATTGTCCTTTAAAATACTGTCTTGGAAACTGCAGGGGGAACCTTTAAAATAAACTTGAATCAAAGATTGTCAAAAGAATTTCGTTTGATCAGAAGAATGTAGTTACGTCACTGAGATGATCATCATTGCACATCACTGCAGCAGGTAGAATAGATCAGCTATTTTTTAAATCCTACTTTAAGTTGTGAATGACTACAGAGAAAATAAGAAAGAATGGGGGAAAATAGAAAGTGTTTAAAAGGGGCTTTATGAGGGGTTTAAAAAAATATCCTTGTAATTTATAGTCTTTTGTTTTTACCACGTTAGCTGGAAAATATAAAACTTGTAAAATAAAGCGTTATCATTTGAACTCAAGTGCCTGTATCACTCAGTTACATCAAATGTTAATAATAAGAAAGAGCATTCATGCACTAGTTTCTTGTTTTACTAACTATTCAGTTTGTTTAAAAATGAATGACTATGTTCCTGGAGCTCAAAGTGTGGTCTAAGTGTTCAGTGGCATACAAATATTTAATTGAATCCCTACTGAACATGTACATTTTCTCACTTACAAAGAAAAGAACAGTTTTGAATTTCTATGTCAGTTTCATTCAAATGGAGAGCAACATGATGTCAACCAAAAATCCAGGAAAAAAAACTGTCCTAAATTGATTTGCATGTCCCTGAGCGAAAAAAATATTTGATCCCCTACAACCCAGTAAGAATTCTGGGTCCCACAGATTTCTGAGTGCCCACATGGCACACAAACCACAATAAATCAATCATTCAGTACACTGGAGATACTCCTGGTCTCAACCTGCATTGTTTATACATTAATCATGCCCACCAAAACAATTTCACATTGAGTGGGCCAGTGGACAGAGCTGTACTGTAAGATCTTGGATGAGAACCTTCTTCCCTGAGTTAGAACACTGAAGAGCGGTTGTACATGGGTCTTAAAGCATGAAAATGATCTAAATACAAACAAGTAAACAACAGAGCAGCTAAAAAAAGGAGAACATTATGATCATGGAGTGGCCAGTCTGTAGACCTCTATCCTATAAATCAGATCTGTAGAGAGAATCAGCACTGAAGCTTGAAGTTGCCAACAGGCAGCCAAGAAAATTAAAGGGTTTGGGAGAATTTCTGTAAAGAGGAGTGGGCGCAAAATCCCTGCTGAGATGTGTGAAAAAATGGTGACCAACTACAAGAAACATCTTACTGCTGTGCTTGCCAATAAGGAGTTATCTACCAACAGAGATGGGTGTTACTGTAATCTGATTACTTTTTTCAAGTAACGAGTAAAGTAAGGGATTACTATTGCAAAAACAGTAATTAGATTACCGTTACTTTCCCGTAGGAACGCTGCGTTACTGCGTTACTAAAACCGTGATTTTCTTGCGAGAGTGTCTCATGACAGTGACGTAAGCGAGTGCGACGTTCGTGGCAACAGCTGTGTGCAGATCAACAATGGATCATATATCGAGTGTGGGAGAGAGTATGACCCTGCAGCGTTTAAAGCGTGGAAGCACTGACCTTACTTTGAGTTTGATTCCATAAAAAGTGACAAAAACATTAGCGTCTGCTGTGCGTGGGAAGAAAACTTCTTTTTACAGCGAAACCCCCCCTAAACAAGCACCGAGTGTGCAACGACGTAATGGGAAATTCACTCGCGGATTCTTCAACTGACCGCTGTGGCACACCTGCACCAGGGTAAACCTCCGCCTACCCCACACCTGCTTTACAGGTCAAAATAGAGCAACAGGACCGCTAGTCTTTGATTTTATTTATTTTCTGCTGTGTTTCACTTGCATCTATTTGAAAGACTGAGTGTAAACACAAAAAATATTTTATTTTATGTGCTGGAATGTGCAGAAAATAGGTTTAAATGTTAAACTAATTTATTAAAGTCAGAGAATGTTGCATATAATTAAATTTTTGCTTGATGCATAAAGTTAAAAGATTAAAACTGATAAAACAAGTTTAAAAAAAGACTTTTACATTTGATTACATTTTGTATGATGGATTATGCAGAAAAAGTAGAATTGGGCTGAAGATCTATCGCTTTATCACCTCTTCAGGTTGTAAATTGTGTTTTTAAAAAGTAACTAAGTAACTAAGTAATTAATTACTTTTGAAAATAAGTAATCAGTAAAGTAACGGGATTACTTTTTTGGGGAAGTAATCAGTAATTAGTTACTGATTACTTTTTTCAAGTAACTTGACCAACACTGTCTACAAAGTACTAAAAGTGCATTTTAGTTTAAAGTGGACATGAAACACTACATGTATAAAGGCTAATTTACACCATCGAGCCCAGAACTCAAAAAACTGACATAGATGTAACTCTGTCTGTGTATCTGGAGTTATTTATTGAAGAAATAGTGCTCAGCGTTAACGTTTAAAGAACATTTTTAGTGCTATTTGTGCCATTACAGAACAAGACATCATCGGTTGGTTGGAGTCAATAGACATTACATTAGTTTATGTTAACTAACTAGTAACACAACCAATAACTGAGGGGATAATAAATGCACTAAAAACACTTTTCTGCTATATAAGCATATACTGTCCACTTTCACTGTCTGTCTCTTTAGTAGTACCTGGCTCTTCGATGTTTGGCTAGCTACACTAAAACAGGAAAATAGAACTGTAAGGCGTAACGTTCGGGTTTGCAAAGCACTTCTTGAATGAGGACAGTGTGGAGGAGAGTCTGTTTTTGAGTCAGGCGACAGATGATTCACTGGACTGACAAGCTGGAGTAAGAAACTCAGATTTTTCCTCCTCTGGCTGTACAGAATCGCGCAATCAGCTGATGCGATCGGCACTATTTTATGCAATAAAAGAGTCTCTCTTTTTTCCAAGCACATCCAGACAGTTTACAGCATAACAGATTACTACATGCGAATCACACCACAAGCACAATTACGTTTCTTACCAAAGCACGATTGGGAATCCCATGAACTGCAGGAAAAATGTGTCGATGTGTGTGATGGACAAATATTAGAAGTGAAGAATGTGATATAAACCAGTTTAAAATAAAACTCAAAAAAGAAATTTTAAATAAGTATAAGAATGAAGAAAATGCAATTAACCCAAGACAGCAGTCAAAGTGATGTTTATTTTTTTCTGCAAATTAACAAATCTAAATATAGTTTTAGTTGAGCATGAGAAAATATTGTTTTGTGATGTTATGTTCTAAGTTGAAGGCATTGTATACGTTTTTGTTGTTCAAATTTAGATGATGAGGATGTAAACCTGAGGGGGTCGGGCTAAATAAGTATATACTTCTGCCTTTTCAAACAACTGCATGGAAAGATTTTATGAAATGTTGGTGAATGTATATGTTTGAAATAAAAATGAACTGAACTGAACTGGAGAAAAGTGAAGCCCAAACGTTAGTGAGGGGGAGCGTAATGTGGAGATTAGTGCTGTCAGCGTTAACCTCGTTAGAATGACGTTAACACCATAACCGCACTAATGTGGCAAATTGCCGTTAGCCAGTAAGCGCGGATCGCCTTGTGTGTGGGGTTGCACAGCGCTAATGCGTTAACGAACTAACCGTGCTAATGCGTTGATGCCGTGCAGCCCCACGCACGGGGCGACCCGCGCTTACTCGCTAACGGAGATTTGCCGCGTTAATGCGGTTATGGCATTAACGTCATTTTAATGAGATTAACGCTGACAGCACTAGTGGAGATTTAAAATTTTTTTTCCTATGGACATGCTGATGGACGTTAAGATTTTCAATCGTGTTTTGGTAAAAAACATAGTTATGTTTGTGGTGTGACAAAAAAACCCAGTTTGGATATGCTTGGGAAAAGAGAATATTATTACATAAAATAGTGCTGATCACACCTTGTGAGAAACTGTTTTAACAGCTGACTGCACAGTTCAGGCCTGGTGAGGAAAAGCAGCACAAAAGTTTTACAGTCCTTATTTTTCCCTGGGTTATTGGTTGTGTTACTAGTTAGCTAACATAAACTAATGCAATGTCTGTTGACTCCAACCAACCCGATGATGTAATGTTCTGTAACTGATACAAGATGGCGCTACATATATTCTAAAAACTTGAACTTTAAGCATTTCTTTCTTAAAACCAGCCACACATACAGAGTTACATCTATGTCAGTTTTTGAGAGCAGGGCTACAGGCAGTGTAAATTAGCCTTTATACATGCAGTTTTTCATGTCCACAAGTCAGAAGCTGAATTTGTGGAATTAACCCCAAGTTAACAGTCCAAGATGATGGCAGTGAACATCAAACATTAGAAAAACTGTAAAATCTTTAATCCGTGCAGCCAGTGTTGCAGCAGTCGGGTTGTAAAGTGCAAAGAAAGTACTGTATTGTATTGGTAATGATACATGAATGGCTCAACCGTCCTTAGACAAAAAAAGTTTTTCCTTGTGTTTCTGACTTTACTATAAGAATGCACTCAACTCTGGAGTAATGACATTCCCAATATCCATCATTTCAGGTAACTAGAAAACGGCTTGGAAATCCAATACATATTTCACTCAATGGCGTCCAAATACATTTCGAACTTTTATGTTTTTATTCTGGATTTTTGTGTGTCATTCTTTCTCCATTAAAATGAAACTACCATAAACATTTGAGAGTGTTCATTTCTTTATAAGTGAGTAAACTTTACAAATTCAGCAGGGCATCAGATAATTTTTCCCCCACTCTAAAAGAGAAAAGCAGTAACATCTCTAGATTTGTTTAACTAGAAGAACCAGATTTTTTTGTTTTTCCATTTGTTGAACTATGTAGTGTCACCCATCAGTTTCATAGACTATACAAATACTGGACAGACTGCCATGTGAGTTTAAACAAATGATCATGAATCCTAATGGCTGGTGACCATAGATGCATCCTGAGGCTATGAGCCCCTAAATACACTTAAACGTTCTCTCACCTGCGTCTTGCATCTCTTGGTAGTTGTTTTGTGACTATTTGAAGTCTCTTTCGGGTGATGTTATTTGTGGTTGTTTGCTCAATCATCAAAGTGATTATTTTCTTTTGCGCACTCTTTGCAAATTCAGGAAGAATTTATTTAAAATTTTTGTTTTCATTGAACTCCATACTAACCCTAAAAAGTCATACATGATTACCTATGCAAACAGCACTTAAATGTTAAATGGACTGGTACTTATATAGCTCTTTTCTACTCAATATGAGCACTCAAAGGACTTTCTACCACAAGTCTTTTTCACCCAATCACACATTCACACCACTTTTATCTAGTGCTTCTAGATGCATCAGGGGCAACTTGGGGTTGAGTGTCTCGTCCAAGGATACTTTGACATGTGGACTGGAGGAGCCAGGGCTCAATCTACCAACCAAATTGGTCGACACCTGCTCTCCTACCTGAACCACAGCGACCTGGCTCTTAAGTTTTAAGGCTCTTAAACAATCTAACAAATATTTAAGTTATATAATTTAATTTTTATTCTGCTTAAAGCTTTGTTGCCCAGGACTTATGAGCTAAAGTTAAATATATGTATCTCTGAACATTTAAATATGTACTTCAAAGGTTGTTTAATCAAATAAAATCAGAAGCTGCACTTCCAGCTAGTTTTTAGGACCACTACTTTAAATCTTATGAGATTTTACTCATGTGTTTTATTTGAGCTCCTATAATGTTATGTGATTCAATGACTAACACTGTTATTTAAACATTGTCTCATTAGATTGCTTACAATCATTGACAGATATTGACATGTTTCTATGGTGCCAGATTGTTTGTATGGTAATTGCTAATATCAGAAAGATGATTCAGATTTTTTCTAACAACATTTGTAGTTGCTGAGATTTGGCTTTGTGGGCTAGAGTAGCTCTGAAGGTAGTCTGTATATATGCAATATCCATGCATAGTTAATTAAGATAATTTTTGCAAATAAAATGCATTAATATTCAATATCTCTGTTTAACTATTGGTAACTTTCTGTGGCGTGAAAAATCCCACGTGTCCCTATCAATCCATAGAATTATTCATATTGTGATATGGCCAAAAGAAGGAGAAGCTTGCTGTATTAGTGGATGCAGCTTAGAAAAGAAATAACCCACCATGCAAAGAAGATATATTGGTAATCCAGTTGGTGGTATATAAGACCAGGCTTACATGCACATAGTGAATATTAAATTCATAGAATGGATGGACAGGAGGCATTATTCAATGAAGATGTCTTCAGTGGGACAGGAGTAGCCGACGTGCTCCTTGTAATACTGCTGGAATGCCCTCCTGTTGGGAAAAATAACACAAAAGATTCCATAACCAAGCAGACCAGGTCACTGGAAATGGTTGATTTACAAGCTACAAGCCAGACTGACTTGTTCTAATGGTCCAGCCAGTGTTATGGCAAAATGTGAAAGACCCTATTGTACTTATTTTGTGTACATAAACAAAAATTGTTTTAAAATCAGCTTTAAACCTAATATATTTCAACAGAAGAGTGTTTATGTGTGTGAATGTGCTGCTGAGAATCCTCAAAGGGAACTCATCGAGAAAAAAGCTCTTTGAATGACATGGCAGCTGTTATATTTGAACCCAAAACACGATCCTTTTATAAACCTTTTATTGTCTAATGTTTTTATTTCCTGAACCTAACCAAGTAGTCAAGGCCCGCAGGTTTCTGCATTTAACAGTTCTGTTGTAGAAATCATTTCGCAGGCCAATTCATGAAAATCGTGCCAATGAAGACCATTCCCATCAGCCACTAATGCAAGTTAAAACTCTACATGGCAAAGAAATAACGAGACATAAAAGGAATCCAGAAATGCTGCTGTATAAATGCTGTATTAATTGGGTATTTAAAATCTCATATCTAGCATGAAAACATTTAGCTTTTAAAACTACAACTGGCCTCCTGGGCTTCCAGCACTTTTGTTGTTGATAAGGTTGTAATGTAACATTGGAAAATATTCCACTGTTCTTTTAATAAAAAAATGTAATTATATTTTTTCTTATTTATCTTTTACACAGCCTAACATCTTTTTTGGAAACAGGTTATATCTCCATGTTGTTTTGTTAAGGATGAAAACAAAACTGTAGCTAATAAAAGCCTCCCAACATCAGCCTTGTTACTTACTGGACACCATAGTGACCATAGTGAATTGTACTTAACCTCGGTGATGTGTTTTTCCCCCCATAAAACAATTAAAAAGACACTACTTTCTCAGAGCTTTCATCTGTCAGAGTTTGAAACCCTGATAGAAATCGTAACACACTATAAACTAGTGTCTACAGAAGTAATAATCCCTCTCCATAGATAGGACAGTCATATGCATTGAATCTTAAATATAATTGAATTAAATGCAGAGCAGAACACAGTAGAGTAGGACTTACCCGACAGATTCTGCTAAAGGATGTAAAGTTGTTTGTGACATCAGGACATGACAAGCAAAGCGCTGCTGGTCAGGGTGCTTGGTGATGAAGCCAAAGTACCTGCAGTGCAAATAAAACAATTATTTCCAAAGGTTCAATTGAGCCTGTTGCAGGACGAAAAACAACAGAGCAAGCAGCACACAGAAAAGATTCATGTTCATAAAAGTTAACTAATCTCTCACGAGGTGAGGGAATTGTAATACAAGCCATCTAAAGCATTTGACTCACCTGCTGTATTTTGGATGACAACCACAGAATGAAATATTTTTCAACTGGAAGAAATGGAAGCACTGGTCCCCCTGATGACAACAAAGACAAAGAGCCATGTAAACATGTAATTCTGGAATATTACTCTAAATTAACATCATAGTTAGAAACTTTTGTTAAGCTAGAATTTAAATTAATTCATTACAGTGAATAACATTAGAAAATGTTGTTAAATGGTAACTTACAACTGGAGAAATCAACTACCAGTAGATCTATTGGAACTAAAGTCCCATAGCAAAGTCACGGGGTAGCAGCCAACAATTATATTTAAGATAACTTTATGAGTACATCACTAAGAGTTGATTATCTTCTACCTAGAGGGGCTATGATGCCACTGACAGTTGTTTGCCCACTCCGGGTCGGGGATGAGTTCCTGCCCCAAGTGGAGGAGTTCAAGTATCTCGGGGTCTTGTTCGCGAGTGAAGCGAGAAGGGAGCGGGAGATCAACAGACGGATTGGTGCTGCACCGGTCCGTCGTGCTGAAGAGAGAGCAGAGCGTAAAAGCGAAGCTCTCAATTTACCGGTCGATCTACGTCCCTACCCTCAACTATGGTCACGAGCTGTGGGTAGTGACCGAAAGAACAAGATCGGAGATACAAGCGGCAAAAATGAGCTTCCTCCGAAGGGTGGCTGGCCTCTCCCTTAGGGATAGGGTGAGAAGTTCAGCCATCTGGGAGGGGCTCAGAGTAGAGCCGCTGCTCCTCCACATCGAAAGGAGACAGTTGAGGTGGTTCGGGCATCTGACAAGGATGCCTCCTGGGCGAGGTGTTCCTGGCATGTCCCACTGGGAGGAGGCCCCGGGGCAGACCCAGGACATGCTGGAGAGATTATATCTCTTGGCTGGCCTGGGAACGCCTGAGGGCGGTCTGGGCTTCTCTGCTTAGGCTGCTGCCCCCGTGACCCGGCCCGGATAAAGCAGAAGAAGATGGATGGATGGATAGTGAATATAACTTCTTAAATTTGAACTTATGCAGGACTTTTCTAACTAAGAATGCAACCACATTCAGCCATTAATACATTGCTTCTATTTGTGCCTTCATTCTGAGCAATTTGAGGATTTGTAGCTTGCCTAATGACACTTTGACAAATGGGCTGGAGGCCTCTGATTAGAAGATGACAAGCTTTAAATCATGAACCATGTGAATATGTTAGGTTATGTTAGGTTGTAAGTACACAAGAAAATGCAATATTTAATATTGGGTTTGTTGTATTTAGAAATTAAACCCATCTCAATGTATTCAATTGACATAGTATCACAGTGTGACCACAATGAGGACCCACCCACAGGGTGTTGCACGTTGAGAGGTGTTTTATTGATAAGGGTTTTTGACACACTTTGTTCGCGCAGCTTTTTAACTGCCTTTTCCTGAAATAGGAAATATTTCAGCATCCTCCTGAAATAGGGAAGGAATGACCCTGTAATGGAGAACAGCTGTGTGGGTCAACCTCTGACACACCACACCCTGAACTCACTGCTCCACCCCTCCTATGCTAAGCCACAAACCACACACAGAAAACAGAAACAGCATATAAATGTGGATGAAAACAGTTTCTTTTCTGAAGACTAAAACAACAGAAAAAAATTATTTTCAATAAAAATTAATAAAAAATAAATAAATTAATGAAGATGGGAATTTTAAAAATTAAAATGGCATATGTGAAATGGTGAACAAAAAATCCCAGGAGGAAAATCCATCCTTGTTTTAATTATTTATCCAAGTAGAGATATGAGACCTACGGAGCCCCTCTGATGACATGGTCCAAAAACTAAATAAATCGTGGCCACAAAATACTACTTCGTGCCCTTGAAATAGTATAACGTGCCCACGAATTACGCATTTGTGGCAACGAAATAGATAACGTGCGCACATCATATTGATACAATTCCTGGACAGCTGCGTAGAGACATAAGCATAAGAGTAGGCTAAACCTATACACCATGGACAGAGACAGTATGATTGACTTTTATTTTAGGCTGGGAATGAGCTACAAATGCATTTTGAAAAGCCTGGCAATGCAAGGAACCATTATTACGGAGAGACATTTAAACAGGATATTAAGATAAGATGAGATACGATGAGATAAGATAAGATAAGATAACCTTTATTAGTCCCACACGTGGGAAATTTGTTTTGTCACAGCAGGAAGTGGACAGTGCAAAAGTTATGTAGCAAATATTATTATTGAGAGCCCAGTTGCTTTACAGATGTAAGTACGACCTGGACGCCGGGATAGATTTTATTGTCAACCAACTGCAAGGGTCTGGGAAGGATCACGGTTATCGGTCAAGTGTTTCGTGCCCACAAATTAGCATTTCGTGAGCATGTTATACCTATTTCGTGCCCTCAAAATAGTATTTCGTGGCCACAAATAAGTATTTTGTGGGCACGTTATACCCATTTCGTGCCCACGAAGTAGTATTTTGTGGCCACAATTTATTTATTTTTTGGACCATGTCATCAGAGGGGCTCTGTAGAGACCAAATATTAGGATGGAAAATGGAAATACATATAAAGCAAAATGGGAAACGTGAATAGAAAATGCTAAATAAAGCTGCTGAATAGAAAATGTATAAGAAGAAATACTTTGAGGATCTTCTTAATCCTTGTTTCCAGACTCTTATTTTACGAAAGGCATGTAGAGGAGTCTGGTAGAGGCCAGAGGGGTGGATGAGATTCACCCTGAGTTCCTAAAAACCCTGGATGCTGTAGAGATGTTTTGCTTGACAAGCCTCTGCAATGTTCATTCAAGATGTGGGGTTGTGCCTCTGGATTGGAAGACTGGGTTCATAATTCCCATCATCAAGACGGGGGACTGACGCGTCTATTCCAACTATAGGATTACACCACTCAGCCTCTTTAGGAAGGTCTAAGCTTTCCTGTCTTCCTCCCCTCGACCCCAACAGGTCATGGCAGATGGCTCCCTTCCCTGAGCCTGGATCTGCTGGAGGTTTCTTCCCACTGTTGCCAAGTGCTTGTTTATAAGGGGCTGTCTGATTGTTGGGGTTTTCTCTTTATTATTGTAGGATTTTTACCTTAAAATGTAAAGGAACTTTTAATGAATACTGTTGTGATTTGCTAATAAAAAAAAACTGAAATTTATTGAATGAGCGGTCCGTTAGTCAAACCTTGGATTCTGGAGAAATAATGCGGATTTCCTTCTCATCATGAAATGCTGCACCAATTCTTTAGCCGTTCAAGGGTGTTCAAGAGCATGTTGGAAAAAAAGTAGAGGCGGCTGCTCGACTTGACTGAGATGGATGCCTTCCTTAAACCACGATCCAAAGCAGGCGAGATTAAGTCACGTACGGTGTCGCGAGATTTAACATTGGTATATTATTGTTTATTATTTTTGTTTATTGTACATATTAAACACTATTTGTTTTAATGGTTTTAGCACCATTTTAACAGTAGTCTAATATTCAAATGTGCTCTCTGTTTAAACAAATACTACTTTATTGTAAAATACATACATTTTTAAAAATTCCTTCTATAAATCAGGGTTCCATTTTTATTCTGTGAGTAAAGAAAAGTGTGAAGAGAGAGAATAGTGCTGTACCCTGTGAGCGGAGTGGCACTGATCCTGGACACTCATCTTCACCCCTTTCACACTGACTTCCAGCGCACAGGCTGATGGAGGCTGACCCGCTGACCGCCTGTTGTATGCTACCTGTTAACACAAACACACAGTTAGTTAGTAATCATGCCAGGCGAGATTTGCTTTGAGTCTAACAGGACTAATCCCGCATGAATCAAGTATGAAAGTGGCATCGGGAAAATGTTCTTTAACCATCTCTTCAAAAGCTTTTTTCAGAATCAAAATCTTTATTGTCATTATGCCAAAAGCACAATAGAATTATATGCAACCCCATTCAATTGAACTTTTATTTTATGTACAAAAAAAGAAAGAAAGAGAAACTGTGATAAACAAATAAAAAGTATCAAACAGTATACAGTACTGTGCAAAGGTTTTAGGCAGGTGAGAAAAAAATGCTGTAAACAAAGAATGCTTTCAAAAATGGAAGTGTTAACCATTTATTTTCATCAATCAACAAAATGCAGCAAATGAACAAAAGAGAAATCTTAATCAAATCAATATTTGGTGTGACCACCCTTTGCCTTTAAAATAGCATCAGTTTTTGAAGGAACTTGGCTGGTAGGTTGTCCCAAACATCTCGGGGAACTAACCACAGATCTTCTGTGGATGTAGGCATCCTCACATCTTCCTGTCTCTTCATGTACAACACTCGATGATGCTGAGATTAGGGCTCTGTGGGGGCCATACCATCACTTCCAGTACTTCTTGTTCTTTGTTACGCTGAAGCTAGTTCTTAATGACTTTGGCTGTATGTTTGGGGTCATTGTCCTGCTGCAGAATGGGGCCAGTAAACAATCATTTATATTTCTGAAAGCACTTTTTGTTTACAGCATTTTTTCACACCTTCTGAAAACCTTTGCACAGTACTGTGAACACACTGACTGAAACTGGACTAAACTTTCAATATATTGAATGAAAGTCAGTAATGAAGACATAAATATGGAAAATGCACGTAATGCTGCCCAATGCTCTGTGGGGCTTGGAGGTGCTGCTGCTGTGAGCCCTGGTGTGAATGGACCCAGGGCCCCTGCCCTTGGTGGATTCAGGGGGACGGGCGTGCCCATGGAGGTCAGCGGGGGAGCTGCCCCTAGCCAATCCTTTCATTCAAATGCCCAGTTGCCTCCCCCCTTTCGCTCCATCACACCACCACACATGCAGGGCCTTGAGGTACAGGTGCGTCACTGAGGTGCAGGGGAGGCATTCCTCCTCCGTCCCCTCCTGGCCACCTGTGCCTCAATTTTATTCCACAACTTAGACACTCAAATTATTTACATTGTCACGACACATACGTATAGGCCCTTGGCACTCTGTTTATTCAACCTCACCTCTGGTGCCGGTGCCCACCTCTCAATTTTATGTAGACATTGAGGGTTCTCGGGAGGGGCCGTGCTGACACAAGCTGCTATCTGGTTGTTGACACCACGCCCCTCCCAAGTTTTAAATGAAATTTAGAACAGCACATACCAACACCACATATGAGCTCTCTGGGCAAAACCTGGTCTTGTTAGGAGAGCTGCTCCATCCAAAGTTGGATGGAGCAGCTCTCATTTCTAGTAATCTGACCAAATTAACCCCCCCCCCCAAATCATGACTGTCCTGAGTTGGAACCAGGAAGCAAAGTTACAGTCTTACACGCCTATCCGCAGTTTTTTTCCTCCTTTTATTCACTCAAGGCCCCGTTCCCTTAGAAACTGTGTCTCCCAGACCACTAAAAAACCGACCAAAAAATGAGTAAAAAACAATTTAAACATAATAAAACAACGAAAGAACAATATAGTATCCACAACTGCACCATAGAGTAAAGCAGTCAAAAATGGATTATTAAACATTGGGTCTCTTTAACAGGTCCCTGTTACTTCATGAATTAATTACTAATCAACACACTGATTTACTCTGACTTACAGAAACCTGGTTACAGCAGGATGATGTTAGTTGAAATGGATCATTTAACATTTACATTTAACAGTGTTTCCTGAAAACTCTCTTTTGTTGGATCATTTCCTAATAACATTTAACTTACAACAATACCACTGTAACTCCTTTAAAAAAAGCCTCAAATCAGAAGTATTTGACTCTCTTGTATTACTTTCAAATGCGCAAGTTCTGCCATTAATTAATGCTTCAATCTTAAATATGATTAACCCATCTCTATTAATCGTCTATGTACCACAGGCCTTCGAGCTGCCAGTTACTTAACTGTTACTTAAAAAGTCATAATTTGACATTGGTTCTAAATTCAGATAAAACTGAACTCAGCTCTAAAAATCTTAGAAATATGGTGTCTAACCAGGTTCTTACTCTGGATAACATTACCTTGGCCTCCAGTAACACTGTGAGGAACCTTGGAGTCATTTTTGACCAGGATATGTCCTTCAAAGCACATATTAAACAAATATGTAGGACTGCTTTCTTCCATTCCAAATCCAGAATTGAATTTAAAATCTTTCTCATCACATACAAGGTCTTTAATAATCAGGCCCCATCTTATCGGAAAGATCTCATAGTACTGCATCACCCACTTTGCTCTCAGACTGCAGCCCTACTTGTGGTTTCTTGGGTATTTAAAAGTAGAACTGGAGGCAAAGCCTTCGGTTTTCAGTCCCCTCCTTTGGCGAAACAGCTTCCAGTTTGGATTTGGGAGACAGACACTATCTCTACTTTTAAGATTAGGCTTAAAACTTCCCTTTTCTGTATCAGTGTGAAGAGCTGCCTTTATCTCATTTGTTTTTTATTTAAAAAAATATTTTATCTGATTCTTGGGGGATTTTGATAATTTATGTTAATGAATTTGTTTAGTCCATACTTCAGCTGTGAGCTTTAATTAAACAGTTTATTTTTGTACCTTCTGCATTGCAGCACACAGCACATCTTTGCCTGTGTAGATGGGAACCGGAACGGAACCCAGATATTGCACCAGGAACTTCTCAATCCAACCATCTTTTTGAACTGCAAGAAGAAAGAAGAAAACATGCTTTTAATCATCGTTGCAGCTGATGAAATTCTCTTTACACAATCCAGTGTGCTGCAACGCACCTTGCTCAATTTCTTTGGGCACCCTGACAGCATAGAAGGCGGGAAAAATGCCTATAGCCCCAGTCCTCATGTTGTAACCCTGACACCACAGGTCCTTAGACTGGTTCAACATTAAGATAGGGTCATCTGCTTCAAGGTCCAGCTCATCTGCATGACGAGGAACAAACCTAAAACCATAGAGAGAAAAAGTACAGGATTTCAGATTCATGTGACTCTTTGCACATGGCACAGTTAATTTGTGTAAGTTCATGTGTGCTGACCTGTAGACAGCTCTGTGACTCTGTTGCCTCTCCACTCCATCCAGAACACAGGAGAACACACCAAACGAGCCAGCACCTGAACAACACATCACTGGCATTATACTCACAATCAGCTACTTAAAGTTTGTATATTTGCCATCCTCAACATCTAATGGGAAACAAGGAAAGAAAAGAAAAGCAATGAATCAAAATAAAACAAACAAACAAAAAAAAAGCATCCACTGACATTTATTTAGAAAAGCTTCATTTTTTACATAAAATTATGGCTGCCCTGCATCATTTTCTAATAATGTAGTATTGGAAGGCTTAAATTAAACCAAAATACTTGTCAATACTGCAGCAATACTGCAGCATATCATTGCTCTTGCTGCTCCAGCCTTTCTGATGGGTTAAAGACCTTCCCCTAAAGTAACTACTTGTCTTCTGGAATCTCCTTCTTACTATTCTGGGAAACACAGCAAATCTTTTGGCAATGGCACGTATTGATGTGTATGAAAAAATGTTTGGAAATACACACCTGTGGCACTGTTCTGGCTGTCGTTCTTGGCAAACAGGTTGAGGAACTTTCTGCTTATGGGAGCACAAGCTCTTCCACCATTCGACTCTTCTTCCTCTGACGTTGTGGATGATGTTACCTTGGACAGCTTGCAGGATCTTGGCATGACTTCCCTGCTCCTCTTCACCTCCTCCTCCCTCCTCTTCTTCACGTCTTCCTCATTTCTTCTTTTTTCTGCCACTTCCCTCCTCTCTTGGAGCAGTAGAAAAGACAGGTTATACTGAGAGCAGAGAGGAACAAGCAGGTGGTGTAGATTTGATTTCAACTTCGCCAGTATTCTCTCTTTTTAAATTGTCATAATTTAATCTGGTCAGTGGTGTTACACGAGGTTTTGTACTAAGTTATCTACTTGTTTCTATAATTCAATAAGAGCATGGCATGCTTTCAATGTTTGTTGATATTTAGAAGATACTTATCTCTGCTCAAAAGTCTTTGCTATTAAAATCGGACATAGGTGCAGTGATTTACTGAAGTGTGTGCAAAAGGTAAAAGAGAGTTTGTATAATTATAACAAGCTTTCAAGTCCGTATTTGATATGACCATCTTTATTCATCAACACAATCTTAACGCTCTTAAGCAAAATCTTCAGAAATAGTTTTCTAGACTTTCCAAAACCCTGTGGACCCACCAGCCCAGGTTCAGTACACACACCTCCTCTTAATCTATCAGATCCGCTGGAGGAATACCGTGACCTACAAGAAATGTTTAGCAAAGACAAGGCTCTATGTCTGCCCCCGCACAGACCCTATGACTGTGCCATCGTCACACATTAAACTCATCAGTTTACCTGCCTCAAACAGTAAGACAGTCGTCCTTTCAATTCCTTGCCCTCTGAACTGTCCACCTGAGATGGCCAAACTGCTTGTTGCCCATGTTTTCATGTTACCCGGGATCACAGTACAAGTCGTGGCTGACAAGGGGCGTCAGTTCATCTCCCAAGTCTGGGAGACTTATTGTACCCCTGAGGTACGAGCAATGTTTAAGTTCTGGTTTTCATCCTCAGACAAATTGATAGAGAGAGACTCAACCAGACTCAACCAGCAACTCGAGCCCCAAGACCACCATCTGCTGCAACCAGGTCATCAGCAGCAGTGGCAGTATTTAAGCTCAGACCTTTACTTTCTGCCAGATCAGCAGCTACCTTATGGTGGCAAATTGGTCTTCCTGTTTTCCTCCCTATATTTTTTTAAAAGGGAAAAATTGTTTTAATCCCGGAAGAAATGGGAGTTGCTATTACTCATATATAATGTTATGTGAGATTGTAGGCCTTAGATATACCTTACTACACTTTGTAGCCATAAAATATGCTTATTTCTTTTCTAAAAGCAGAAATGTGCAAGGGGCATGTTAAAAATTAGCAGAAGTATTTACCTTTCTTTTTTGCTTCCTCATTTTTCTTCTTCTCCTCCACATACTGTGGGTCTTCATCCTCATTGGCTGACTGATAGACCGTTTCTGCATCACTGTCATCATTGTGCTCGTTGTAACCATTCAAGCAGTACTTGAGGTTCACCAGCTCCAGTTGAGCATGTTCATCCACCACCAGAGTATATTTAACAGAGTCATAATTTAACCCTGTTAAAGTTTCACGGATTGGTACAGTCTGATTAGCCACAGAGGCCATGATATTGTCATCCTTTTCTTTTTTGGGGTCTACCCCTGTTTCAGTGGTACAGTCCGTTTTGCTGTTACCTGTGGGACAGCACGTTAGATCATTCTGTAAGTTTAGGCATGGAGTTGGAACTCCCTCCCCCTCTTCTTCACTGATGTCAGGGTTAGTTCGGTAGGTCAGAGAGGGATGCAGAGGCCCTGATGGGGGTCCTTCTGTGTCTGAGCTAAGGGACATCCTGTTGGACCCTCCCTCACTGCTGGACCGGGAGAGGACAGAGGGGTTGTCCTGGGTCCTGTCATGGTTCTGGTCTAAGAATACAAAACACGGACCATCATTGTCAAATGTTTCCAGTTTGTAAAATTTTAGATAACACAGATGAACTTCACACATATGGTTATACTCTAAGATCGTTTTATTTTGCAATATTCTTTATAGCTGATATCAAGGGAATTCTAACAATTGGTTAACAAAGGTTCCAGAATACGTTTGCAGGTTTAGGTAATAGAATTTACAATAGTCCCACAGAATACTTGGGTATTTATCAAATCCCAGGGGAATAATTTTCAAACATCAAATATTGTAGTGCACTGCACAAACACGGGGAATTATTTATAGATAGCCCATTTATATCTCTACCTGTAGTTATAAATGGAACATTTGCCTGAGCTCAGTGAGATATGAATGGTGAAAGCTGGCAACTGCTAATACTAAAACAATTCTAATTAGTAAAGTGGGGGTTTAGTCTAATTAATACAGGTGAACCAACCAATATAAATAAAATTGTGTGGACTATTTGCCTTTAGAAATTTCTAGGAAGCTTTCAAAATGTAGGTTAGCAGGTTGATATTAGCATTCTGGTGCCGCCTCGCACAACACAACTATAGGCTTCCTGTTCACTGCAACAGTTATTAAACCTGCAAATATTTTCTGTGCTCTAAAGTAGTTTCTTATGCAGGGTGAGTTTTTTCAGAATTTTTTCATAGGGGTGACCATTGGGGGCTACATAAGAAACAAAAAAAGAGAGGGAAAAAAAAGGAGAAATTTCTAGGAAACTACATTTCTAGTACTGCGCTGGACCTCAGTAGAGTCTATGCTGTACTATACTTAACTTTATTAAAAGGTGCATTTGTAGGGTTTAAGGGTATACCATGACTATAACATATATTTAATGCAAGATTTTAAATCAAGCGTAACCCTGGATCTCAGATTTTTTTTTAATAGCTTTGGCTCAAAAGCAATATCAGGCACAGAAATCCTTCATTAGTCGACTCTAGTAATGTATTTTTAATTACTTGATATTTTTTAATTGATTTCAGAAATATAAGTAGCTCATTTCAAATGTAATGACTTAAAGAAATTAAAAAAAGATATCTATCTCAACACAGACGTCTCTCTGACTTTAGTTTTCAATGCTAATAATAACATTCCTCCTGATAGTGATGGTCCGTTAAGAGATTTTCTCACTCTCATTTCCAGATATGTTTCTCTCTTTCTTTCTTTCTGTCACTTTTCTTTTTCTGTTCCTCCAACTTCTTCTCCTTTTACCAACCTGGTCTTCACCCCCTGTCCAATATCCACGCAGACATTAAGGTCAATAATAAAATAAAATCAATGTAAAAATAAATAAAAAGAGGAGCCTGCAGAGAGCATAATGTGTTTCACAGACGAAACCATGATCCTGTTTGCTAAAACTGCCAAACAGGAAATGATTATTAAAAAAAAATTGGTGTGAACCTTGGTTCAATACCTTGGTGTGTTGTCTCCAGGTTTCTCTGTACTATGGGTGTGCGCGGCACCACCATAGCAGGCAGATAGACTTCCTTATTAGACAGAGTTTTATTCGACTTTAAGGCGCTTCCTCTGTTGCCTCCTTTAGTGCCTCCTTTTCCTCTCCCATCAGCTGCTCGGCCTTTCAGTCCGTTTTCTTCCCTTGGCCTCTGATGTCCATTCTTGTCTTTTGCTTTTGACTCTTCACACGGTCGTCCTCCTCTTCTATCTATCACTCCATCTTTTCCTCTGAGGTCGCCCAGGCCCCTGTCTCTCATCACTGTTGCTCCTTTTCCTCCCCCTCTTCCTCCTCCACTTCCTGCTCTCCTCTGGTTCCTTAGTGTGCGGGAAGACTGTGTATGCATAGCTCCAGGCATTGATTGTTCCCGTGGTCGAGCTCGTGTGTCTGAGCCAGTGGCAGCAGCCTGACCATTGGCTCTGCTGTTGGATACATTGGCTGTTGGAGGTTTGGGTGCTGGCCGGCGCTGAGTGCTGTGCTGGACTTTGTCCTCAGCTTTTGGTTGGACATCTAGTGGAGCGAGATCCCCTTAATACATACACACAAACAACAAAAGCAGCAGATTATGTATTAGGCAATCAGATATACGGTATGCAGAGGGATATTCAAAGTAGCCTATGGTAAGCTGTTAATCCTGTTACAGCAACAGCAGAAGAAAAAACACACATGATGATTTCCTGACTGAAGGAGTTGTTGTTCTGTTACGTCATCATTGCTTGCCACACAAATAATTCCACTGTTACATTAGACAAAAGGATGACAGCCGCGGATTCCAAAGAAAAAACAAGAAAAAAAAGAACTCAGGAAAACAGAGACTTTAACAGCGCATGAACAGACTTATTATGCCATTAGTTGCTTACTGGTATGATTGATCTGCAGCTTGAGTCTGACCTTACACAAAATTTTACCTTAACTATCAGTTTTCTACTTTTACTATTTTTTAAAGCTTTTAGACTTCTATATTTAGTGCAAAGCTTTGTACATAATGTAATAATAAAATAAAATTAGTATATGAGAATATATAATTTAGTCCAATTTTTAATTCTAATTGTACTTAGCTTGACTTTGCCTCTAAACAGGAAAATGTGTACAGTCAGGGGTTAAAGTGTGATCTAGCAGGTGGGGGAGCCCTAAAATCAGTTGTAGTGACTCAGTGTGGGGGGGAAAAATCACAGGTGAAGTCACAGTAACTTCTATTGAGAGCTCCAATAGATCTTTGTGTGCAGGCTGTGATCAGTTGATTTGGGCGACTGGCTCTCTGAGGTTCCCTGCTCTTTGTAGATTTGCACAACTGAATTCAACAAGATCTAAGCAGGTGTTCCACGAGTTGTCCTGGCTGATTTCTATCCTCTGCACTGACAGTACACTGTTGATGCTGTCTTTTTTCTAGATCTAAGCATCATTAGCTAAGAGTCATATTCATCTCTGCTAATCTTGATCTAGCAGACCACGAGCACCACAGCCACTGTGCACCAGTCACACACTGTTGTTTACTTCAAATCCATGACAGACTAACCCGTTTATCCTGCACTAACCTGCAGTGTATTTTCTTGCAGTCTTTAAATAACACAGTTAGTCTGCCTTAGTTTGTTTAGCAACATGTTTCACCATATGAAAAACAGTGTCACATGTACAGACCCAATATTTGATTTAAACACATGAGGACTTACATGCAAGCTTTAAATTTACAGTTTATCAAATCTGGGGATAGTGTCTGGCAGCCTAGGGTGATGTGGGGGAGGACTATGGTCTGAATCAAACCTGATGAATATGTCTTTGTAGGTTCTCACTCATCCAGGTCATGGTAATCTAAGGAGCTTGGAAAGAAAAGCAACTGGACTTCTTTAATTTTCTTGAAGATGGTTCATCTCTCATCCTAGAAGCTTCTTCAGCCCAGGTATTAAAACCCTAGTGGGATCTGTCCCTTAGCAGGGTTGCTGACCTACTGTTGATCATGTGCCTCTTTGCATGAGCCGAGGTGAGAAAAAGGGTGTTAGTCATTATATGCAGAGGTTTCAGGTGAAACCATTGTGAGACCTTACCACACCCATTGAGATCACCTAACTCAAAATGTTAGTCGGCGATCAGGTGCCTGGGAAGGGATCTCAAAACTGCATTGTAGGTGGCTGATAGTTGGTTTCATAAACCACCTCCTCTGTTCAAAGATGGCTGTTCACAGTGGACATAGATGGCTTCTTTCACTCCTCTTTCAAACCATCTGTCTCCTCTGTCCAAAATGTCAGCATTGGCATCTGTCTCTGATAAACCTGCTATATAAGGGATGACAATGTTGAAGCGCTACCTCGACAGGACAAGACTCAACTTTACATCTCCATCTAAAGGATAAAGGTCACTCTTTTGAGAATGCCAGTCACTTTTCTTTCAAAGCTTCTTTGATAACCTGTTGAAATAATAATCTGTTCACTCCTTACTGCCATTGTCCTGTGTAGTACCCCCATTATTTCTATGACCTAAAACTTTCTTCAGCCCTGTCTCCCTATTGTTGTTTTGCTCCAGTTGCTGTTCCAGTTTCCTCCTGTAGCTGTTCTTGTCCTGCCTAATTTGCATTTTAGTTCCTTTTGGATTCGCTCGAGATTGTCTTTGTCCCCTGAGCTAAAAGGCATCTTCTTCTCATTTAGCAAGGCTTGTAGCTCAGGGGTCACCTATGGTTTATTGTTGGAAACCTCCCATATTTTCTTGGAGGGTACTGTGCTCTCCACACAGAAACTGATGTAATCCGTGATGCGCTGCGTCAGACCATCAGTGTCTTCCCCATGTGGACTGCAGAGTACATCCCAGTCTGTGGTCTCGAAGCAGCCCCTCAGCCTTTCACAGGCCTCCTCCAACTAGATTTTCACAGACATCACTGCTAGTGGTTGATTAATCACATGCTAACGGCCAGCTGCTCAATCTCTGGAATTCTCTGTATTAACTGTAAAAAGACAAACTAAGCACGAAACCACCCACAGTCTGCTTCCTGGGTTCGAATTAGATAGCGAATTAGAAAAAAAAGAAATAAAATAAAGTTTGCTGACCTATGCCCTGCCCTAAACCTAGAAATAGCCAAATGAAAGTAAAATATTGCAGTCACCCACTAGTTGTAAAAAGCTATCTGCCCCACGAACTCTATATTAGTTACGGTTTAAGATTTGTATATGAGAACACTGTGTGATTTATTCTGCTCTGTTCTAAATCATCAAATACACTATTTTGCATTATACTGTAATAATCTGAGGGATCTTAAGAACTACTATAAGTTTGTATTTTGAACCTGTGTTGAGTTTTCGTACCCGTGATATGTGGGGAGGAAGAGTGGGAGTCTTTCCAGCTGGCCTTGCCTAAAGAATTGTTGTTGATGGAGTCCTGAAAAGAAAGTATGAAACAGAGCAGCAATAAGAATAAGACCAACAACAACAAATGACTGGATTACTAACACAAAAAGTGTGAAATCTTATTTCTATCACATTAGGTACATAACTAGGCCCAAAGTCTCTAATGACAGCAATGCCAGGAAGAGGTAGGAGGACTGATGAGGAAGTGTGTGGCATCATCACGAAAAGGTATGCCAATCCCTCACTGACCAGCCCTCTAAATGACCTCACACTCAAAGGTGCTTCGGATCTGGTCCAGAGGACAGAGCAATGCCAGGTCACCTTGAGAGGGTAATCAGGGTAACCTCTGATCCACACTCCTAAGTTGTCTTTATTTTTTATAATATACACCAGAGGTCACCAACAGGTGGACCTGTATTCAGACCCATATGGACCTGGAGCCACAGCCAAAACAGGAGGTTATTATTTAAAAGCCGACGTGAAGCTTCAATTTTAACTGGTCGTCAATGAATGGTCTAAGTGGACGTGAGTTAAGCAATCCCACAAGACATCACTGAGCTAATCAAGTCTGTGCATTCCAGGCAGTACGCACTGCAAATAACACAGTGGAGTCCCTGGATCAGAGGTCACCAACAGGCAGACTGTGGTCTGGGTCTGGGCATATGTCACATATGGACTTGGATCTAGAGCCAAAAACTGAAGGTTATGATTTAAAACCTGACGAGGTGCATCTATTTTAACTGGTGGTGCTTTTGTAGTCTTTATGGTAGTGGTTTAGTGGATAAGGGAATGCACAGACCAACTGGATGTGAGTTAAGCAAGCCCACAAGACACCACTAAGCCAATCAATGCAGACAGATGATAGGCAAGTTACACATGAAAAAATGGTAGAAGAGTAAAAGAAAGATAGTGATACATGTAGAAAAAAGGGAGAGATACAGATGACTCCACCAGAGAAAGCTGAGAAAAAGACAGGTAAGATGGAGAAAGTGAGAATAAAATAAGGACAAAATTGTTTAAAAACTCTTTAAAAAAAAAAAAAAAAGTGGAAAGCAAAAATGCATGAGTAAGTGCTGGGCCTTTCCAGATGCATTTGGTTTATCTCCAAGCAGACGTGGCCCTGAAAGAACAGATTCTTCCACTTCCTGGCCTCAAATGGTTCCTGGGACAGATTTCTTAGGTCTGATCTTGACATTGTTTGGGTCCACACACAACTGTGAGGCCCAATGAACAAAATCAAAACTAAATAATGTTCAAGGATCAACAATGAGCACCTCTATATGTCTATGAAAATGACCGTGACTCAATTTAAACCCAGGTACAAAATCCTGGCAGTACAAGATACAACTACTAAATTTTCAAACTGAACAAAAAAGTAGGGGGGTTCAACATAAGAGGGGAAAAAAGTGAGACCTCGATGACTTGGAAACATGAAGATGAAAAAGAGGATTAACAGATTTTCTGACAAAGGGCTGAATAAGACGGAGACAATATATATACTGAAAGGTGACAAGGGAAGTGGAAACGCATGAGAACACAGCAGAAATAAATTAGACGTGACATGACAGGGGAGGCAAAACCAAACACACTGAACACAGGACGAGAAACTGTCAAAAATAAGACAGGAAACACACTGAGAAACAAACGAAAACACAGGGAAGAAACAGACATGTGAACAAGACAGACTCAGGCGACAAAACACAGCGACATGACTAAGAAACACAGAGGACGAGGGCAAAGGCACAAAGGGTGCCTAATAGACAACCAGAAATTACAATAAACTCAGAGAGATGAAAAGGACTAACCTCAAGTGTAAATTGTATGAAACTTAAATCATTACAATATAAAGAAAGAATTAAATTCTAATTAAACTGAAAAGGCTGGGACAAAGACCCAGAACCCTGACATTTGCACATGTAATATATTCTGTCCATAGAGAATCTATATCATTCATATTTAATATAGTTGGGACAAGAGGTGTTTTTTATTCTTGTGCATTTGTGGTGCAGAATATACTCAGAGAATGTTCTCAGCACATTAATAACAAAACAGCACAAAACGGCTTTAGAGACTCAAGATTTTGCTGTTTCAAAGATTTTGCTGTTTCAGACTGAGGAGCTTACAAACCTACACTGGAAACCCTTTATCAATAACATATACAAAGTCTAGTGAAGAATATACTTTAAGGGCATTGTACCAGACTACAATATACATTATATACATGTTATTTTCATGTATAGCATTGAAATACACTACCCTGTCAGTGAGGTACCAAACAAAAAGAGATACAAAACAACCACAATCATGTAAGATAATGACAGACACCGAAAATAATTCCCAAAATAGAAAAAAATGACCATGGATATTAAAAGACAACCACAGATACTCAATAACCACTAAGTGACACAAAGTGACACAAATGACCCTAACATTAACAATGTTAATCCATAACATTTTCTGTCTTTGTCATCAGGTCACCTCCTGATGACGCAAACAGAACCACATCATCTGCAAAGAGCAGAGAGACACTTCTGACTAAGGGCGTCCACCCAGACATCCCCTCCTCTGTCATGATTTGATAACCTGCAGAATACTGCCGATGAACAAACATAGAATCATGTATGCAAACATGTATGGATGTTCCTTTCTACTGCTATGTGCAAACATGCAGTAGAAAGGAGAATGTGTATTTGGCAGCTCAAATGTTTATGTTTTGTTTTTGATCAATAGCATCGATCTACAGCAGAGATATAGAAAAAATATAACGGGATCCAGTTAGAGAAATTTTCTTGAAGCAAAGGTCTGGAAAATCATAACATGTAGAAACTGCACCATCAAATATTTCTACATTTTGCAGGCCAAGCAAAGTGTGGCTCTGTCAGTGGCTGATGCAAAAACTGGTTGTGGGAGGAGTTCAGTGAGACCATGGAAAAATACTTTTGGTCAGCCTCAAAGCAATTCTGGCAAACCATCAGGTGAATGGAGGGGGAAGCAGTGCTCCACTCATACTGCACACAGCCGTAGTGGGACTCTGCTGACCTCAACTGAGACTATAGTCAGGCAGTGGAAGGAACAGCTTCACAGATCTCTTAAATCCCTCAGTCACATCTTCTGTGATAGAGGCGAACTCTGGGGGTGAGAGGAATGACTGTTGTACCACTAGCTGTTAGGTCACTCATTTACTTAGACAACTGCTCAGCTGCAGGGCCCCTAGAGTAGATGAGATTCGCAGAGCGTTCTTGGAGTTCCTGGATATTGTAGGGCTGTCCTGGCTGACACATCTCTGCAACATTGTGTGGAGGTCTGGGGAAGTGCCTCTGGACTGGCAGACTGGGATGGTGGTTCTTTGTGGTTCACTGGGAAAATTTATAGTGGTGTGAAAACAATGTTTGCCCCTTTTCCTGATTTCCCATTTCTTTTGTATGTTTGTCACATTTAAATGTTTCAGATCATGAAAGAAATTTCAAATATTAGACAAAAATGACACAAGTAAACACAAAATGTATTTTTAAAATGAAGGTGTTTGTGATTAGGGGGTAAAAAAATCCAAACCTACATGGCTTTGTGTGAAAAAGGGATTGCCCCCTAAACTTAATAACTGGTTGGACAACCCTTAGTGGCAACAACTGCAATCAAGCATTTGCAAAAACTAGCAATCAGTCTTTTACCGGACTGTGGAGGAATTTTAACCCATGTGTCTTTGCAGAATTGTTGTAATTCAGCCACACCGGAGGGTTTTCGAGTATGAACTTGCCTATTTAAGGTCATCCCACAGCATCTCAATCGGATTCAGGTCAGAACTTTGGCTAGGCAACTCCAAAGTCTTCATTTTGTTTGTCTTAAGCCATTCAGAGTTTGACTTTCTGGTGTGTTTTGGATCATTGTCCTGCTGCAGGACCCAAGTGCGCTTCAGCTTGAGGCCAAGAACAGATGGCCGGACATTCTTCTTCAGGATGTTTTGGCAGACAGCAGAATTCCTGGTTCCATTTACCACAGCAGGTCTTCCAGGTCCTGAGGCAGCAAAACAGCCCCAGACCATCACACTACCACCACATTTTACTGTTGGTATCATGTTCCTTTTCTGAAATGCTATGTTATTTGTATGGCAGATGTAATGGGACGCACACCTTCCAAAACATTTTTCACACATATAGGTTTGGATTTTTTTTTCCCCTTAATAGCGAAGACCTTCATTTAGAAACTGCATTTTTTGTTTGCTTGTGTTATCTTTGTCTAATATTTAAATTTGTTTAATGCTCCAAAACATTTGAGTGTGACAAACACACACAAAAATTGGAAAGGGGGGGCAAACACTTTGTCACAGCACTCTAGGCAAGGGTACTATAGAGGAGGGTCCTTTTTTTTTAGTTGAACCTTAGATTCAGGATGAACAATGCAGTTTTCATCCTGGTCGTGGAGCACTGGATGAGGCAATTCAGTCCCTGTATAATCATAACGAGAGGTTTGGTCCTAATGCTGGCAGCATGTTGAACTTCTTTCAGATGGCTGTTGGACTCCACCAGGGCTGCCCTTTTCACTAATTCTTTTTACAGTTTTTATATACAGAATTTCTAGAACTTGTCTTGCCTGTCTTACCCCTTCATACCACCATTCACTGAGCGTAACTCCAGATTGCAACAGAGTTCAGTTCCTCTCAGCAAGACTGGTTCCAGAGCTTATGCCATGCATTGAGGTAAATCCTATTTTATCTAGTCCATCTCCTCAACGTCGGGCACTAGCTGGGGCTTCTTTTCCACCAAAGAGCTGATGTTTCATGTACCAAGAGCTAGTTTTAGTAGTCAGGAATTGGACTGCCAGGGCCTCCATTTTTGACTGCTGACATACTCACTGGCACTGGACACTTACGGCACATTCTGTGGGTGGTGAGCCCACAGGAGATGTAAAAAATAATGCAAAATGTAAAAATGTATTAGTTGAACACACAAAAAGCATACTAGTTAAATGTTAGTTAGGTGGTTTTAGCTTGATTTAGCTTTTAACTGTTTTATTTTACAATTTGAAACCTTACAAATAGACAAGCTGTCTGAAAGTTAGTGTTTACAAGCAAAATATACTTATCTATAGTTTAATAACTTCTGAAAGCATGCAATTTAAAGGCAACATAAGCACATAAGAATTACTTTATACCAATTTATTAAATACTTTCCACCAGACCATTTCAGATTTACCTGAGAAGGTAAAGGTATGTTTTTCAAAAGGAATTGTGTAAAATCTCAGGTCACTACTGTAAAGAGTTTGCTCAGAAAAACAGAAGGAGAGTGAGAAAGCAGCCCCTGTAAATTTACTTGATTGTACATGACATTAAATATGTATAATTTAAATAACCTATATGAATGTGTTGACTCATAAGTAACTCAACAAAGCTAAGGAAGATGCAATGACAGAAAGAAGGGATAACACTGAAGGGGTGTTAGCTACCATCCTATAGACTAGATTATTCTGGTGTAATTTTAATCAAATGTCCAGAAGTTAGTTAAGGTATTCGAGGTTGGCAAGGCAGTGCAGTATACCTATATTAAGTATATATTTAATAGGATGGTAAAAAACAACAACAAAAAAACTGCTTTTCCAAGTGTCCTTGAGCAAATCCCCCAGCTAACCCAACCCTTAGCCGTTCAGCTGCCATGATACAGACTGATTTATCAGGACCGCCTCTCTAAATAAAAGCATGTGTGGAGAATTTGTGAAAAAAACAATAACAATCAATAAACAGGAATCTACAGCATTTGACTATGTGCCAGCACACGCATAAACACAAAATATACACAGATACACAACAAGCCACTGCTGTCTCATCCTCAGGACTGGATCCTCCCCGGAAATGCACAGAAATACGGTTATTCAGCTGGATGCTCAGATGTCTCATTCCAAATACACAATCCAACCATGACACACACTTTCCACAGCATCCCACAGCTCCTTTTAAAAACAGGCCTCCTACCTGGGTGCCGGCTTGTGGCAGCTGTGGGAACAGGGCCAAGGTAGTTGGTCTCTTTGGTCGATATTTGTCCATGACAGCATAGACGGATCCCCCCTTGACAAATGACAGCTTCCTTTCTCCCTCCCTCCCCCTCCTCTTCTCTTTTATTAAGCCAATGTTCGCACTGCTGCTCAGACAGACCCCCCCCCCCCCCACCCCACCCTCCAACCACCTCTACCTCCCTCTCTTTCCGTTATTTTCCTTTTGTCTTCTCAGCATCGATCAGCGCTGAGCTCAGCCTCAGGGCACATCTCTTTCAGTCCTTTCTTGCGTTATCATTCAGCATCCACAGCGTCAGACTACCATAATCATCATCATCATCACCACAGTTATCTTCCTGATGATGTGGAAATGGAGACGAGAGGAGACAGAAGGAGAAAGAGAAGTGGGTGGTGTTGGGTAGTGATGGAGTGAATGAGGGCTGAAAGAGGAGGAGGAAAAGAACAGAGATGCAGGGAGGAGGGGGAGTTCTGTACCAGCCAATCAGGGAAAAGCATGACATCATCAACTGATCTGCCTGTGGTGCTTTCTGATTTGAGGCTAATAAACATTGTGATGTTGTGGGCCAGTAAAATAAGATTAGACAGTAATATGAAAATTCAAACAAAGGAAATAGCCCAGTGAGCAAACCAGACAGTCAGCCTACAACACAGCTGAAGAAAAGATCAGCCAGTAAACTGAGAACCAGTTAGTGAAACACACAGATTTTAAAAATAAATAAATAAATAAAACAACAGTCCACAAATCAGTTAGTTATTCAGTGAACATCACGAACAAGCCTTTTCACATGATTCACAGTAGTCAGTGACTAAAACCAAGGCAGAGCAGGGATCATGTAAATAACAGTATACAGATCATTAATTTCATTATAAAACACTTGGAAAGTCATCTCCATAACTACTTTTTGGTGATTTTACCATAATCCACATCAACCCCATATACTGATCCAAAAAAACTGACAGATGAATGTTAATCCTTAGACAAATAAGTTTTATTTACCATTTTGCCCAATCGTGTACTGTTGGCTGAAGCAAAGGAAAAGAAGAGGGAAAAGCATGTTAGGAGGCAGCAAGAGAGAAGGAGGGGTTTGAGATTGTGGATGTGAGAGTAGGGACTCTAAATGTAGACGCAAGGTAGTTATACTGTGTGTGCAGAAGACCAGTTGAAAGAAAAGCAAGGCTGGAAACATTGGAGGTGGATTCAACTGTTCTATGAAGAGAACAGCCAGAAATGCACACGCAGTGGAGCCCGTTCTCACTCCTGACGCGTAATATACCGACGATTTGTCACGTCCCAAAGTGTTCCATGGGAACGCGAAAGATGTCCTTCTGCGTTCATATGCTACGCGCTGGATTGTGGATGAATCTTAACCACCACCTTAATCATGTTAGATAGTACGGAGCCCCGCAGGGGACATGGGAGAAAAAAATTAAGACGGACTTTTGCAAGTCCAAAAGTTTTGCGAGATCTCGCAAAACAAACTCGGGATCTCGCAAAAGTTGAATTCCAACAATGGCGGCAGCTACTTAGTTGTAATATTACTCTTTCTGGGTCACAAAATACACTTTTAAGATATTTTGAGGCGTGAATGTAGTTGTGTAAACATCAGATACCTGCTCGGTTTACAAGACATCTGTCACGGTCCTGGGTCCCCTGACCCAGCGTTTTTAGTTCTTTGTGATGTTTGTATTATTGTACTTGTGTGAGTTATTCTATGGTTTCTAGTTTCGATCCCTTGCCCTTCATGTTTCTCTGTGTCCCCTCTGTTCTGTGTAGTCTGTGTCTGCATGTTTGAGTTCCCCTCTGTGTCTCTCGGTTCTTAGAGTCCTCTGCCTTATGGTTTATGTCTCTGTGTTTCTTAGTTGCTGTCTCCACTGTGTCAAGTTCGCGTCTCTGTGTGATCCTTCCTGTTTTACTTTGATGGTCCGTGTCTTATGTGAATGTGTCCTGCTTTGCTTGTCTCGTCAGTCCTGATTTCTCCCAGCTGTGCCCTCCTTCTGTGTCTCATTCCCTCGTTATCCCTCTGTGTATTTAAGCCCTGTGTTTCTCTTTGTCAGTGTCGTAGTCTCCCTCATGCTGTGTGTTTCTACCTGTAGCTCCCTGTGTGTTTTGTTAGTCTTCCCAGTTTAGATTTTGTAGAGTTTTTGTGTTCAGCAATAAAAGCTGCCCTTTTGAGTTAAATCCTGTCTCCAGTGAGTTTGCGTTTGGGTCCTTCTCCTGCCTGCCACACAGCCGAAACATGACAAACATCACATATTTGCAAAAGTGCTCCGACGTTTTCGGAGATCTGACACCCACCATCTCGAAGCTAACGGGAGGTCGAGACCTACTACAGCCGGGAGGAACACCGCTTTCCCGGCACATCGTGCCTCGACCTCCCGGTCGGCTTCGAGCTGGCGGCCTCCGAAGAATGCGGCTAAAACTTTTGCGAGATCCCGAGTTTGTTTTGCGAGATCTCGCAAAAGTCCGTCTTAATTTTTTTTTCTCCCATGTCCCCTGCGGGGCTCTGTAAGATAGTGTTTTCCAAAGCGATTTGAGTAAAATAAACATACATGCGTAGATTTGTTCCAAACTGTTTTGATGTTTTCAAATTTTTCCAAACTCATAATATGTTGGGTGGCTGAAAGCGTAGTATAATATAGGATAAAACACTTTTTTACTAAGTGTTTTATCCTATTGTAAAGTGTCCTTGGGTGACTTGAAAGGCGCTCATAAATAAAATTTGTTATTATTATTATTATTATTATTATTATCGACGATTTGTCACCTAGCGTAAAATGTTACATCTTGGGACTGAGAACGTGTTGCACATTGTGGTTGTTTTGTGTCTTTTATGTTTTTTATTGTCACATTTATTTACTCTTTTTAATTCACCCAGTTTGATCTTTATTTTGTTCTATTTTATTTTCATTTTACAATTTATTTTTTATTTGAACTAAGCGGAGTGCTCCGCAGGTGTCGACACCTGCACGAGAGATGTAGGCTACTGTTGCAGTTTAACCTACAGAGTTTATCTCGTGTGAAAGATGTCACATTACAAATTACAAATCCACCACAACCACCCACACATGCAGGGCCTTGGAGTAGGGGTATGTCACCAGGGTGCAGAGGAGGCTACCCCCCCCTCTGTCCCCTTCTGGCTGCCTCTGCCTCAATTTTATCCCACAACTTAGACATTCACATTACTCACACTCTCATTACACATACATATAGGATCTTGGGGGGTGGGCACGATACACGGAGTCCAAAGTACCATCAGGGTGTACACCCCACCCCTGGCATCGTTGCCCACCTCTCAATTTTAAATACACGTAGACATTGAGGGCTAGCAGGAGGGACCATGCGCTTACCTGCTGCTCTCTGGCAGGTAGCTCCATGCCCTCCTGGGTTTTAAATGCACCTTAGAACACACATGCATCAACATTACAATGAGCGGGTGGAGGGAGGTTTGGAGTCTTCTCTCACCCCCGTTCTCTGCGACCTGCTGGAGCGGGGGGGCTAGGAGGAGGAGTTGGCCGTCCGACTGCGGTCTGGAGTGTGGAGCCTTCCTGCTGCTGCGGAGTCGGGGCGGTCTGCCTCCCCCCACCGCAGGGAAAAGGGAAACACCACCTGGGTCTGGGTGCAGTTCCCCCCGCCAGGGGCGGGGGCACCTAGACCCGGTTTGTAGAGTACGCTTGGGGAGTGTGATCGTGTGTACAGCGTCTCTTTATGTCTGTCTCCACGTTGGTTGAGTGTGGAGTAAGTGCATATGAGAGCATGAGGGTGGGAATGGATGTTTGTATCTGTGTGTGCCTGTATGTCTGTGTCTATATGTCAGGTTGGGTGTCAGGCGCCACCTCTCTGGGGACATCTCAGGCCCTCCAAGGTTTGGAGGCCTATCTCCCCCTACCACCACTTCCCCTGCCAGTGGCGGACCCCCTCAGACATCGGTGCGTTGGTGGTTCTTTGTGTCCGGGGATGGGCGTCCAGGTACACACCGGCTCACTCCTTGGCGGCCGCTTATCGGGGCCTGGAGCCTGGGGCTCGCTCGGGCCACTTCGGAGGTGGGGTGCCCCCGGCCTCTCGGCCTGGGGCTCGGTCACTCAGGCGCAGCTGGCTGCCGGCGGAGCTCACGGGCTCGTCACTGCAACTCCCCCTGGCTTCTGCTCCGCGGCTGCTGAGTGAGCCCTCATCTGGGACTCTCCTCAGCTCTTTCCGGGACAGTGGCGCAGCTGCCCCTCTGTTGGTCTTCCTTGGTCTCTTGTGTTCTGGGGGCCTCTGGATGTCTGGAGTTTTGATCTCCTCCACACCTGCCTCACGCCCTGGAGGACGGGGCTGTGGCCCCCCCACACCCTCTAGCAGATTATTACATGAAGGAACCTTTTAAAAAACAAAACAAAAAACAAGCGCGTCCATGCCCACAGGTGTACACACGGGTGATCACACCCACAAACTACACCCTTTTTGGCTCCTACCTCAAAGCACACTGTGTTCTGTTGATCTTATGTGCTGCACAATAATGTTTAATATTTAGTATTTACTGTCATATTCACATATATCATTGTGATGTTGTTTATTCTATTACTCTTGTTCTCTTCTGCTTGCTTTCTTTTTTCTTTCTCAGCAGGTGATCCAGGTGATTGATATATGCATTTTTTTTTCCTCTGCCCGTTTTGTTGGTTTTTGTCTTTTGCCCTTCTCCCCCGTCCCTCTTCTCAGCTGTTTCTCTTTCCCTCTTTCTTTCTCCCCTTCTTTCCCCCAGTCAAGTCTGTCCCGTATTCAGTAAGTGAAAATAAAATAAACAATAAAAGGTGAATCAAATGGACCATTACGGCAAGGCTGGGATGGTCAGTTTGGTAAAGTAAAATCCGTTGGGTATCTTTCTTTGCCTTTAGACAACAATTCTGATGGCAAAAGAGCCAAACGGGACAGGCCAAAAAAAAAAAAAAAAAAAAAAAAAAAAAAAAACAAATTCCAAATTTGTAGTGTGACATTTGTCTCTACGATGGCTTATGGGAGGCATATCGATGCTGCTTTCCAGATGCCTCGGAACTCAAATGTCGGAACTTGGGAGTGATGTCAATCCCAAGTTAACCCAACACTTACTGATGTCATTTGCTCTTACACTGTGTTTTGTAGAGACATGATTAGTCTTTCTATCCAAGTTTTTTCTTTTTAATAAAATACCCTAGTAATTAACCATTGGTGACTAAATCTGTGAAGTCCATCATACTGAAAAGGAATCTTGGTTTTAAACATAGTACTGTGGTGGTTTGCTTACCAAGGAGGCTCAACAATGAGTCGTCTCTTCCAGGGTGCCAGTCAGGTTTCTCTCCCTGACATATAAACCTAGTTTGTTTTGCAAACCATACACAAAGGAAGCTCAAGCACTTTAAGACCTGACACTTTAAACATCAAAAGAAAACCAGCCCAGTATACTTTGTGAACACCAAGCAATATAT